GAGGGCTGTTCTACTTTTCAAAGGTTAACATAGAAAGAATATTTTAAATTTTAAATGCCCTTACGGTTCTGTATTCAACAAAAAAAATGTCAATAATTCACAAACATATTTTAAAATATTTATAAAGAATTTATTCCACATCAATGTGGTTTTCATAATCAGAATGTATTCTTTGTTCCCTTTTTTTTAAACCATATGTGACATGGATGTTCTATAAAAATATTTCAAATCATTAAATGTGACAAAATTATAAAGAAAAAATCCTGTATTGAGATGATAGCCTTAGAGAGGGTTATGCAACATTGATACTAAAACTATGGATTTGAATTTTTTCAACTGGTTGTGGAAACAGTGAGCCAGAAAACAAATACAATGGTTATGTACTTCTTAAACTTTTCAAAATATATTTTTTTTCATTTGAGAATTTATTGTACCTTGCAATATTTTTAAACTAGTTTTCAAACAATCTATTTCTGGTCTTCACAAAGGTAGTCAAAAAGTAAAACATTTTCATTATCAAAAACCGTTGTTAATTATACCTGAAAATATTTCTAAAGTATGCTATTTATATCTATGTATCTACTTGATCATACTGAATTTGTTTTAAGAGGGTAAATTAAAAACTGAGAGTACTAATGGTTAATTATGCTGTTTGCCCTAGTTTCGGTGATAATCATAAAAAGCATAACAAAAATTTACATAACCTTTTACATAAAGTTTTCTGTCTATTCTGTCTCTCCGAGATATACAAACAAAATTTAGATGTAGTGCACACAATCTTGGTGTTATTGAAGATGATTGCTTTTATGTTGTTCTGCCAATACTGATCTTAAAAACCATTATCTGCCTGTTTATTATTAGGTATATTCAATTGTAGAGTGTAATTTATACTATTAATGTCTTCAATTAATAATACCTTAACCATTTCACATCTAAAACTATAATTACTATTAGTAAATATTGTAATTATATATTTCTAATGTACTAACCCCTGTCACTCATTGAAGATGATTGCTTTTATGTTTTTCTGCCAATACTGATCTTAAAAACCATTATCTGCCTGTTTATTATTAGGTATATTCAATTGTAGAGATAAATTTATACTATTAATGTCTTCAATTAATAATACCTTTCACATCTAAAACTATAATTACTATTAGTAAATATTGTAATTATATATTTCTTATATACTAACCCCTGTCTGTAAATTTGTAACATTTTGATAATAAAGTATATATCTATCTACGAGTTAAAAAAATAACGGCTGAATTTTTTTAGTTAAAACTTTCAGATACGTTATGGGATATATTTTTATAGATTTTGGTTTATAGCTTCCACAAATTTTCGACCTGCAAAAAATGATGAATGTCCCTTTAAATGCAAATAAATCTTTTGCTTGAAAAGTAACAAAGCTACAAGGCTGAAATGTGCAGGCAATATCAACATGGACTATCTGGACATGTCAGAAAAAACAGAACTCAAATATCTGCCATCAAACTTTTGACATTTTTCATGCATATTGGCCATATAGCTTTGCTTTGCTTTAGCTTTGGTCTTTTCCTACGAATTAGACCCCAGAGATTTAAAAAAAAAACTCACAAAAAGTAATTAAAATCAGTAAGTAACTAGTTATTTCTGGTCTGCACAATGGTAGTCAAAAGGACACATCATCTAAAAATAGGTTTACTACTAATTCTTTCATTTACCTGGCGATCTTCAAGCGAAGGTAAATGAAAGAGCAATGTGAAATTGGCGCTAGGAGTGTCAAAGTGAACGTAACGTTTAAAGCAGAAACTTGACCAGCAGCCTAAAGTCTGAATTTGCTTGTCTTAGAGACTAGATTGACTGAGTGAACGAGTTTAATCAATTTCCCACTGGTTTTTCGCATCATGTATGAGACGCACATCACCGTTTGGTTTTGGTAAGGCCCTCTGTGATCCAGTTAATATAGGTGTTTATAACACGGGAACATAATTACCCACAGACATCTCAAAAAGTATCTGTTTTCGCCTTAGGCACGATAAGTGCATGTGAAAATGTAATGGTAGTTAGTTGTGAACAGGTAAATGTGGGTCATACTGAGTAACGAAAACAGTCCTGCATATTGTCATACTCTATTGGCAAGATCCGTTCTGAAACATGGTAATTCAAACAGTCCATATAAAGGGGAATAACTCCTGTAGGGCACTGTTGATTTAAGCAGTCCGTTGTTGAAAATTGAGGCACTTGCGTTTGTGTCTGTGACAGTTGATGTTGATTGGATAGTCAGATTGCACAATTATTGTGAATTAATCTACATTCTTTTCTATAACACATGCTATTATTAAAATTACGACAGATCACTCTACCATTTGACCTGAAGAGTCCTTTCTTGCGCACCCAAGTCGGATAGGAATTGCAAGTCGGTTTGCTATATCCCACTGTTTTGTATTTTTGTTTCGTGAATTCTGTTCTTGCAAGGCTGGGGCCGTTGGGTGTTTTTTCTTGCTGATAAGCTGAATTCCCTTCAATCTTGCAAACAATCGCGATACCCTACACCAAACAAAGGGTAACATAGGAGAAAACGCACCCCCTAAAGACTCGAAGCGATTTCTACGAAAGTGAAGACGTAAATTATGTTTGAATCGTGTGTAGAGCTTCGTGGTAATCACACTTCTGATGCCTTATTGTGAAGAGACTAAGTTATAACAATATCTTCAAATGTCAGTCATATTACTTATTTTCTATTAAGGGTCATAATGCCAAATGGGTGGGGTAAAAAAGCTGGTGGGAAAAAGCTCTGTGCAATATATGCATTGTGTATCATCATCCGTTACCAAATTTATTTGATTTAATTAAATTAAATTGTTTAATTTCTTTTCTTCAAGGACATTTTTATACGGCGATGATGTAATCACGGTAGATGACTCCGCTTTTCTTATCCTGGGAGCTGAAGTTTTTACTTTCGGCATTGGGGATAACTGAGGAATGATATCGGCTGTTTTTTTCTTTTTAGAAAATCTAGTTCAGGATAATATTCATCCTAAGAAGAAAAAACCACAATTTGTTTTTTTTGATAATTTTCTTCTCCATTGTAATCTTACAAATTTTCTACTGCATTATAATTCTCTAAGCCGAAAGTAGAACAATTTTACAGCCTCTTCGGAGCCTCCTCCTATTGATCTAGAACCCGTTTCTTGGGGGATATCGGACTCGAGGAGGCTGTCATGTTGCTGACTATTATAATTGATTAGTGAAATAGCATAGATTACTTTCATTTGAAGACTGCTGTAATTTCCACTCGTGAAGATGTATTTCGGCGAAGCGGTGTCATATATCCGTATAACTATGAGGTCAAAATAATATGATCTCAGCTTCGATACTTTGTTTCTGATATTCTTACTTGTAAGTAACACAATATTTAAACTGTGGTAGCTTGTGGTCGAATACTGGCCCATAGCAAGATAATTCTGTCAATCTCAAACGCATGTACTTGTTATTTTTAATTTATTTACGATTTATTAATAATAAGACGCTTTCTTAAAATACTATAATTTTACTTATTTACGTTTGTATTTTTGTCCCCATGGGCTGAATGTTAGTTGTGTTTGGACTTAATTCTCACCCATGTGAGTTGTTTATTATTATTGTAATCTCATTACACCTATAATACATTTAAATAATAATTGTCCGGATCCTCGGGGCTAATACGAGGCATATCTGATCGGTGGAGTTGCTTAGTACTTAACAACGTGACCCTGGCAGTCAGAAACGCGACAATCAAAAAAGACCAACAAAATTCGTCCAGGTTGAATTTACGCCCTTCTTCAACTATAGCAATGGTGATCATTTGTCATTTGGTTTTCACAACAGTTCTTTATTTTATTGAAACTCGCTTTGGTGCTGAAAACATTTTGACACGCGCCGTCTTTTATACAGTATTGTCAAGTGTTTTCCATGTGGTGTATTCTTACATTTCCACAAATATAGTATTGAGGTACATGTCGGTGTTAAGTCATTCCGTGTGCAACATTATGAAAAGAGTATTAGTGGTTATATTATTGTATATAGAAGGCAGTAGACATGCCTCGTTTTCTAATTTTCTGGGCTTGATGGTTAGCACTGTTGGATTGTTTATTTATGTTGGTTTAAAAGTATCCGTTAAGAATTCCAATAATAGAGATGTCACATCCAAAGAACAAGGTAAGGATTTGAGTTCGTAGAAAAATATCCGCACCGGCATTGAAATGGACGTTAGTGTGCTTAATTCGGGGAATTAATTGCACCTAGCCTGAAAAAGTAATTAATGGGATAACATTTATTCAAAAATTTCAAATTTGGTTAACGGAAGTCATGTACCACAAATAGTCCGGGAACTGCTACAGCACAATTTTAGGCCTACACATTAGACCACAAGTAGCCTAAAAGATATTAGTAGGACCTGAATGTAACCTTCCTTATAACAATTCATTTTTTGTTTATCGTTCGTGCGGTGGCTACTATGGAGAAGATAAACTTCGACATCTTTATGTGAAATGTGGGGTAGATCATGCAAATTGATTGTCCAGCCACTAAGAATGTCTTTATAATCAGGAACCTTACTAGCATCTTCACCAGATGTTGAATAGAATCATCATTGTCGTGGTTGACGGGACACTGATGTGTAGATAGATTTTCATTTATTTCAAAAGGCTAATTCTTGCTTCGAACCACTTATTTTAGCATTATGTTTTCGCAGAAACTCTTGAATTTCAATCTTTTGAGAGTAAGGATAATTTCTGTTATTTTAGCATCAAACTGATCCATTCACATTAACTAAAAGACTTTTCCAAACAAGCGCCACTATAACGTAATTTAGTCTAAGTTGTACCCGTAGTCAAGGAAAGATAACTTTACTCTAGGTGACTTGTTGCAAGTGGGGAATACGCCATGGTTCTTACGACTTACCACACTTAAACAAACGAATCCGTTAGGATGTGACTAAAAGTGGATTGATAGCATGAAACTGACATGTCGGTCCGTCTTCCGTACGTCCGTCGGTCCGTCCGTTCACATTTGATCGTAAACACTCTAGAAGGCACAATTCTTAACTGATTTTGACGAAACTAGGAATGAGTGTTTATAATCACCCAAGTATGAACCCTTATGAAAATCAGAACATGTGGTTGCCTGGCAAAAAGGGCGGTCACCAATCTGTGTCAAATCATACCAAAAATCTAATTTGTACACACAAAATTTAATAAAATTCTGACATTAAATGTCATCTCTATCTCATTTACAATTCAACAAATTTTGATGCGTTTTTACTAAGTCAAGGGCAATAACTCAATTTCCATTGATCGAAAAATTCAAACTTGACTAAGATCTTTTCATTATAAATGATCACAGCAAATTTCATTTAAATCGATGAAAACTGTAGTCTTTATTGTGTTCACAAATTTTTACTAACTAAAAACAATCAGTACATAACAGATACCATACTAGTTATTTTTTCTAATTACATATCAGAATCAGAACACAAGAAAACCCAGCATCATGAGCCTTAATCCCAATTTCTAAATGAAGTATCTGTTCCACCCCAGGCCTGTTCATTTGGGAGAATCAATCCCTCCCTTCCCCGAAATCAAAAAAAACGTTCATCGAAAGATCGTAAAATTGGAATTTGCCAATATAAATGATCACACCAAATTTCATTAAAATCAGAGAAAAACTGTTGTCTCTATTGCGTTCACAAACCAAATAGAAAAATATTAAGTTTGAGTTATTGCCCTTGTTTTTGAAATGCTCGTAAACACTATAGACTGCACAATTTATGGCGGAATTTGAAAAAACTTGGTATGAGTGTTTTTCACCCAAGGACGAAAATCAGAAAAATTTAAAATTATTAGTATGAGTTATTGCCCTTGTTCTTGAAAACGCGTTCAATTTTTAGCTCGCGAACACTCTCGAAGGCACCGTTCTTGACAGATTTGGTAAAATGTTGGTGTAAGAGTTTATTACCCTGTTAAAACCCTTGTTTTTGAAAAGGCGATCAATTTTTTAGCTCGTAAACTCTCTAGAATGCACAATTCTTTACAGATATTGACGAATCTTGCTGTGAATGTTTGCTATCATCCAAGGACGAAACCGATCGAAAATCGGAAAAATATTAGTATGAGTTATTGCCCTTGTTCTTGAAAATGCGTTCAATTTTTTGCCCGTAAACAGTCTAAAAGGCATATTTCTTTGTGGATTTTGACGAAACTTATTGTGAGTGTTTGTAATTACCCAAGAATGAACCCTATCGAAAATCATAAAAATCGGAAAATATTTAGTATGAGTTATTGCCCTTGTTCTTGAAAACGCGTTCAATTTTTTGCTCGTAATAACTTTAGAAGGCACAATTCTTGACAGATTTTGACAAAACTTGGTAATATTATAAAGTATCGCCACAAAAAGTTCACAAGAAGTGTATGACTAAGGGTTGAATATTTCATACTGCCAGTGGGCGTATATTAAATTGCCTGGCAAGCTATCTTTTCTTTTACAAGCAATCGTGTACAGATAGTGTACCTATACTATAATTCATTTATTTCATATGTATTTATTTCGCAGGTAAACGAGACAGAATGATTATCAAGATAGCTGCTTTCCTCATTTCACTTGTTTGTCTGAGTATAATTGGAATGTATAGCCACACCAATATAAAATTACGATATAGGTATGATGATGTTGCAAAGATGCCCCTGGAAGACTTCGAATCACGTTCATTTGGCAGAAAATCATTAGACATGATGGACACGTCAGATCTGGAACCAGATGTCAATGACGGCCATTTTGAAAATATACCACGTCTAAAACGATTTCTCAGAAAAAAGCTGATAAAGACACCTTACGATACTGATATTCTGTCCCCGCATCTTAAAACAAGCACAGAAGTTATCCGAGAGGCTCAAAGAGTACATTTCAATCTCTTGTTTGAAATTGCTACGTGGTTTCCGGTACGCCATGTTGTTTGATGTTGCTGTGTTCGAAAATAAAGGAGATCCAGCCATTTCTTCAGGTGAAATTTATCTGTTACGAAGACTGGGTATTGATCTCATTTACTACTGCAGTTTTAGCTATTGTTACGATAAAAACCTTCACTATGCTAAGGACATGAGTGCAATATATTCCAATAAAGAACTCGTTATTCTCGTTCATGGCGGTGGAAACATCGTTGGATATGCCATTAACGATGTCCACAGGTTTAAAATTTTTGATCTTTTTAAAGGTTTTGAAATAGTGGTTTTATCACAGAGTATATTCCTGAAAGATAAAGGCGCACATTTCGAGCATTGCAAACAGTTATATTGTTGTAACAAGAATTTAACATTAGTTTTAAGGGACCGACAATCACTTTTCATGGCTCAACAATGGAACAAATCTAATTATGGCACCGGATATGGCATTTCAGATTGGACGAATCAAACGATATATGAGTCCCATGTATGATATATTATGGCTTAGACGAAATGACATAGAAACACCAAACTATAAAATACCCAGGGTACCTGAAGGGGTATCTGTTAAAGTTAAAGAATGGTGGGGTTTTCCAACGCCTAAGGGGGATAACCCTTTGGAAAATGCAACTAATGGTATGATGTTCTTACAGAAAGGTAGAGTTGTGATAACAGATAGACTTCATGGTCATATTTTATGCACTCTATTAGACATACCTCACGTATTAATAGATAATAAAACAAGAAGTTATCCAGCTATCACAGGACTTGGACTCGAGGGTAGAGAACATTTTAATTACCACAAACGCTACCGAGGCAATTTCTTTAGCTTTACAGCTTTTGAAAAAATATACTGACGTCATTCCACCTGTGGCGCCATTTATGAATGTGATAGAAAATCCAGGATAAAGGTTAACCCCTGTAGAACCAGTAATTTTTAACAAATCACAAAGATTCCTTATATAGCATTTTAGGCTAGATCAGTAAAGTTATGTATACAAAAAACAGTATTGAATCCTGTATAGCTCATTTAAAAGGGCAGTATGCAAAATTGCCATTACATTACTAAAAACGTCGTATATTATACCCGAAAACGTCTTTAAAAGATGCTATTATCATCTTTGTTTCTACTTAATCAAACTGAATTAGTTTTTTTAAAAGGGTTATAAATGAAGTGTACTATTTGTTAAGTAAGCAGCTAAAACTAGTTTTGGAGTTGACTCATTAATTTTAGTAACCTTAATTAAAGGTAGGAGATATACTTTTTTAAATAAAAATTAGGCATTTATTGTGCTTAAATCAGCACAGTAGTTTTTTTAGACTAATAATTAATATTTAAGAAGGGTTGCAACTAATATGGTTATTAAAATATATGTGAGGCATAGGTAAGGCTTCCTCCTGAAAATAACAATTCATGTAATAGTTTTTACTGGTTTTAATATCATTAATAGGCATCAACTCATAACTTTGAGTTTTGTTGTAAATTCTTAATTTATGTACATAAAGATGAAGGCAATATACACCACTATAGAGCTGTTGCACATTTGTTGAAAAATAATACATTTACTACTCCCATAGAACAAGGTTGCAATAGAAATACAAAAAATTTATTTATATGAGAAAAAAGGCTCTCATCTCAATCCTACACTGGTCGATGGAACTGCTCAAATTGAAAACTGACGAGGATTGGTGTATATTTGATGTATTAAGATGATTCTGTTAAATGTGAAGTACAAGTATTAAATTGTCTCTTAGTATAACTAACAGTCCTTTCATATTTGCAACTGCAAACTTAACTGTGTATTCAATAAAAGTGCACCATATATTCAACAAATCCTGAAATGCCTCACAGATTTTCCGAGAATTTTTATCGCTCGTTAACATTCAAGATTTGTAGAAATTAAACTAAAATACTAATAAGCTGAAATATGGAGTTGTGACACTCTCTGAAAGTGGGAATATTGTTTTTAGTTAGCTAGCATATATGAATAGATTTCATGTGAGAAAAAGTTATTTCTAGGTTCTACAACATTTGAGAACCACAGTTCATGGTCTATACACAGTTCATACTCAACATACGACAGGTTTATTTATATAACCTTTTTCTTATTCTGTAAGTGCCTGTATTAAAGTTTACCTTTATATTGTTAACGATTTCCTACACAGACTACACCCACAGCAACAATTCTGCAATACCACTTGGGGCACAGGGACGTTGTAGAATATCTGAACTCTCCGAACCGCCCGAATTGGGTCAGAAAACACCTAGTAATCGATGCCTGAGTTGCGCCAAAGGCTGTACACAACGGGTGGAATATTTGTTAGGTTAAAATGGAAACACAGAATATCCGATAAATGAAACGGAATTGTAATTCAATTTCATGCATAATATACGAGATATACATCTATATCTGGCGAAGTCTCAAGCAAATGCGAGTCATTTTAACTTTCAAATGAGGATATTTCTGGATACACATTTGAAGGCCTAAATTTCGACGGTGATCAGTGAACTTTATTAGCTTCCAATTGACGTTTCTGAGACTATGGTACGATTGGTTAACAGGATAGCGAATCTATCCCTTTACATTGCAAGGAACTAAACCTTGGACCTTTGGGGGCAGACTGAAATATGTCAGTTGTCTTAAATATTTCTAGTCTAAACTAGTAAATAAATATGGAACAAATCTGAAACAGAATTTTATGAACTTTACCAAACGAATCAAAACATGAATATGGATTCACATAACAGATATCTTCATCGATTGGCAAAACGGCTTGCGAGAGCAGTTATGAAAGCATTTTGAAAGAAAAACATCAGAGATAAAAAATCAATCCCTCTTTATTTGAGGTGATAACGAATAGTTGTTCTTTATTTGACATTTTTAAGAACATTTTTATAATCATTTTTATCTATAATACCTTTCTCTAGGGGTAATTCCTCGTTGTTATCGTGTAGAAAGGTTATATACCTTGTCCACATTTTTCTCTAGCTTTCATATCTTCTGCTTCGTCATATTCATTATCTTGATTAATTCTTATAATATATAACTCAACTTCTTTCAATCTATTTGTTTCGGGTCCTGACTTTTTAATTGCATATAGAAGTTTTGAATATTGTAATCTGCAATGTCAACATCCCATTCATTAAATTTATTAACCCTTCTGTTAATGTAAATATAAAGTCTTTTCTATCGATTTTAAATGCGGGTGAATTTGCTCTAAATATTATTCTAAACCTATTAAACAATAACCCCACTTCATCAACGATTGGTTTAATACTCTTCGATAAATCTGGGTCAGGGTTTGAAAAATAATGTTTTATATCATCTAATGTCCTAATTATAATACCACCATATTCAATCAGTTTTGGAACGGGGTGATCTATATGAGGCGTGGGTGAAGGCGTAGATTCTAAAGCTAATTTCTTTTTGATATCCTCTTGAGTTTTTATTATTGGTTGAAATAGTAGATTTTCTGTTAATCCAAGATGTTATTTTCAACCTGGGTCTTTATTTTATTCTTAGCTTTGATATATTCTCTATTTCTTTTTAAAATATTATTTCAATCACTACTCATTTTTTAAAAAAATAAAATTTGACTGTTTGCTTAACAGATGTTAGTCATAACTCTTTCACCCGCAGGTTTTCTAGTATTTATATATCTAGTAATATATCCTGATCGTCTGGATTTCTCCATTGAGCTTCACATTCTTTTTTAAATGCATCTCTATCCATTCCGTGATTTATTGACTGAATAATTTTAGATAAATCTTTGTCGTTTAATTCGAATAATAAAAAAACAATTTGCGTTCTTTCTAATAAACATAGCATCCATTCCGTAAAAAGATTGGGATTGGTATATACAGTGACAGTTGTGATGTCTTCCTTTTGTGAAGAATTCTTGTTGAACAGCTTGACTTTTTTGTGCTACGCATTCATCATATACTATTAAGTTCTTTCGGTTGCTATCAATAATAGACAAATCCAGATCATTAACATTTTTCGTAAGAAACACTTTATGTCGGTTGGATTGAAAGATGGATTCTTTGCTTAAATGAAGTTCTCTATGACATTTTTTATCTTCCACTCTTCTTTGTTGTCTTCATAATATTGAAATGTGTCTTGAACGTCTTCCTTTGGTAAATATTCTAAAGCTTTTAGGAATTGATAATATGATTGCTCTGGAGCTGTTGTGTAGATGTACCGAGACTCGAAATCTAAAAGGTTTGGTGTTGTCAGCATGTAAGATGAGTTTTCCCAGAACTTGAACTTCCGCAAATGCACCTGAGCATTAGGTTTTGTGGAAATCTGCCTGAATGTTTGAATTTTTTTCTCATTTTTCATTAATTCATTTTGTTCAAAAAAATCAATCCATCTCCTTGATACTTTGAGAGTCCCTCTCCAGGATGTATGTTTTTAAAAACTATAGCATAGCCCTTATGTTTGACTCTCATTTCTCCAATGTCAATACTATCTATTAATTTATTTAATCCTTGTTTAACAGTTTTCTTGGTTTCCTCCTATTGCACCAGCGGCAGTAAGACCAGCAAATATCAAAGGTAGGAAAGGTAAAAGTCCATCTTCCTTTACGTTTTTATCAATTCTTTCTAAGTCTATATCGTCTCTGACTTGTTTGTATTTATCAATAACTTAATTAGATATGTTAATCTAACAGTAGCCGGTTACTACTCCTTGTGTTTTATCGATATGAATACTTATATTACTCCTGTTTTGAACAGATCTTCTTGGTGGGCTGATAGATCAAAACAGAAGATTGGGTGATTAAGTGCAAAATCTACATATTCAAACTGAGGTGGATTTCCAAATAATTCACACATATTTTTATAGTTTCTATACAAATCATTATAATCCTTTGTCGATGGATTAAGTGTCAAAGGTTAGTTAGGATAATTATCGTTGTTTAATCTTACTTGAACCTTATGGATTTTGGTTCAATGCCACCCTAAAGATATTATTGTTATTCGTCTGAGAGTCTGGTAAGTCCTTGAAACCAACCAT